ACTGTCCAGGCTTGCCATCTTTGCCTGGAGTACATTTTGAAGTACATTTTGCTTATGAATCTGATCCAGATTGAATAGAATGCAATTTTTTAAAAAGCTGAGTAGATTGTTGAGAACTGGGAAACATTTGAGCTAGTTTATCTCAGAAATTCTCTTCTCTGGCAGCCCTTTCTCATGACAGCTAAAGGGGTATATCAGCCTACTTGTACCTTCAGGTTGGTATCAGACCTGCCAGTTACTGATAAATTAGGGAACTCTCTGCCCTGGAATGTCCCTTTATTTAAGGTAATTTTGCAGCCAGAATAATTCCATTATTCTTTACTCTTCGCAAAATTACAGATTATTTCCTTCTATTTTGAAAAAAAAATACAAAAACAAACAAAAAACCCACACAACTTATAAATCCCACAATTATTTCTCCAGCAATTGAAGAAGGGGATGATTCATCCTGACAAAACCAGCCAAATCTCTGTATGTCAGTATCTATGTTTATCAAATTACAGAGGCTCTTTTCATTGCAATGTAATCCACATTTAAGTTTTATTATTCAAAGAGATGATCTGTTTATTTGTTTGTTTGTTTAATGTGGAGCCAAAGTTTACAGGTACATTCAGGTACAGTCTACAAAGCAGCATATCCTCTAGGAGAAGGCAGGATAACACTGTATTTAGTGGGGAAAAATCCTAGGGTAAATTGCATCCTCTTGACATTTCTTTTACCATGGACGGCAGAAGAGGGATGCTGCTACCTGCAAAAGGTATTGGCAGAACATCAGTAGGTTGGTGAGTCTGAGGAATGGGTGTACTGATGGCCATTTGGCTATTTGGCCGATCACCAGGCCAATGACACTTCAGTCAATGTTCTCTAGTGGGCTCTGGTGCTTAAAATATAAAAGCAAGGTCTAATAAAAATTACCAGATTTTATGTAATTATATTAAGTTTATAGTGGTATTTCATCTGACTGAGGAAACAATGCTGAGCCTCTCTGAAGCCCATAAGACTTCCCACACCACCTACTTTTTCACTGAGTGAGGTTCAGTTGGACAAATCCTAGAAAGACCAGAATGTTACATCCGAGCTGTGTTCTGTGGCATTGTAGAGATGGGGAAAGGGTAGACTTCCCAAACCTTTTTTCCTTATGTACATTCAGAAGACCTAGTGGAGCTCAGACAGAATGCTGTAACTGGATTGTTTTGGTCCTCTGGTCTGGTCTGCTACACTCTTGTCTGCTTCTTCAGGATCACAGGGGGACTAACATGGTTTTCTCCCTTTATAGTGGCAGTTAAAACATGCCCCAGGTAGTGAAATGCTTATTGGCTTCCTTCTAGTGTTCATGAGATTGCTAATGGTCTCATTGAAGAATCCATTCTTAACCTGGTTAGAGACCTGGGTTTTGCTAAAACAGAGATTCTCTGCTAATTCAATCTCCTGCTCCATTAATCAGGGTAGAGATCCCTTAGCAAGAAAGGCATAAAAGGTGTTACTACTTCAGCTTCTGTCTGCATTCGCAAGTTCTGAGAAGCAAGAGGACTTCAAGCAGGTGAGTATTATGTAACCAGGCCTCCTCTGCAAGACATCCACAAAGTTCCCTGCTTTACTGATGTCTTCAAATGGAGACCTAACAATTCTTCCAATACAGTGCTGATGATTTTGCTCATCTTTCAGCTAGCTTCTGTTCCCTTTGTTGCAGCAGTGCTGTTGGGGACTTCAAAATTTCTATTCTTTGTTCTCCTTCCCCTTAAACTTATTTTCCTGTCTCTCATCACAGATCCTGCCCTGTAATTCGTTATAAGCGCTTACTCATCCCCAGGGTCTCACTCATTCACTTCTTTTTCTCTTGCACATCCTCATCTCTCTGCTGGAAACCCATGGTCATGCTTCACACACATCTGTGCCCTCCTGCCTTGGACCTTGTGTCTTACCGTCTAAACCACCTGCCTCTCTGGTTCACAGTCTTGAATCTCCTCATATCATCTCCATGCCCTGCTTTTTGTCCACTAGGACCGTACTATTGATTCCAAGAAATAACAACAACAACAACAGCAGCAACAACAACAACAACAATAATAATAATAATAATAAGCTATTGATCCCACTCCTTAATTTGTTTTTCTTTTCTTACTATATGTCTGCTTCTTCTGCCTCTTCTAATGCCATAACTGCACCCACATTTGTCTAACTAACCTCCTCACACCTCAGTGGCCTTGCGCTCATCCTTTTATTCTTTTCCATAGCTAATGTGGCTCCTCACTTTAAAATATACTTAGTATCTCTGATTTTTAAAAACTTTAGACCTCCATCTTCTCTGCCTTTGTTTCTGCTGCTTTTCATCTCAGCTGACTGAATGAAAATCCCTTTGGTTGCTCTGTGAGGTTTACTACTTTGGGCACAGGGACTTATGCTGTCCCTTTGCCTGGGGATAGTATTCATCCGTATTAGTTTCTTGGTTATTATCTTATGCTTCAGCTGGTTGGTTGTGGCAGAGCCCATCTTTTCATCTTCGCCTCGCAAAGAACTGAGCACGACTGTTTTCCCTTCCTTGGCTGGAGCTGGGCAAATAATAAATGATGACACAATGATGAGTTTGGTATTTTAGCACTGCCATCTGCTGTCTGTCTTTTATCACAACATTCCGGATTTGACTAAACTTGAAATTTGTTTCATCTGCTGCTACTGAAGTGGAATGTATTACTGTAAATGCCACAAAATCATCATATTACATTCCTTACAAATGCAAGATGCATGCCTTCTGCTTTCTGTTTTGCTTTACAAAGTGAAATATAGAGGTTGGTAACTCAAGCACTGAAGAATGAGGGCATTCTAGGTTAAACTGTTACATAATATTAATTCACCTGCATTACCTGGATGATGTCTATGTTTTGTAATATTTTGTAGCTCATGCTCAAGCAACATGCAATACTGAAAATTAACCATGTAGGGAATAGGCTATAGAGAAATAGAATAATTTGTGAGTAATCTAAAATTTGTGTGATACTTGCCCTGATAACTTTTCCAGCCTCTATGTCATTTAGGAATGTCCTGAACCAGAGTGACTTCTCTATTTCAATAATTTTCAGTGGGTTTCCTTTCTATGAGTACATCCAGTTTCTCCTTAAAGCCATATATAAAAAACTTCATGGTTGTTTTTTTTTTTTTTATGCTATTTTATCTTTCTAAACTTTTCCCTCTTTTATTTCTTGGTTTTCTTTTACTTCATTTCTGTGATATAATCAAGCTTATTATAATCAGGCTTACTGATATATGGTTAATATTCCATTGTTAAAACAACTTGCCTCTTACATTTCCTAATGTGTTCCCATCCTAAGCAGCAGCAGGAATACTTTCTCTTCTTAGAACAAGAGCTCCTTTGTGACAGGAGACTGTGAATACTTATTCAGACATAAGGAAAAAAATGTTACACACAGATGTGTTTTAAGAAAAAACTGAAAGGAAGAATAGATACAAATATCCAAAGGAAGAAGTATGCTTAGTGTTTCAGTAATTCAATTGTTTATTCAATTTACTGCCATGTGCTGAAATATTACCCAGAATTCTAGGAAATGCAGAAGTGGATTATGAGTTCAAGGATGGAGCACTAATTGAATTCTTAATTGAAATGACTCATCTAAGCAACACAATGACCTAGATTGTCCCCCTGAAGGTAAAAATTTTTCAAATGGTATCCTGGCACAGGTGCCATACTAAAAGCTTCACTGTGGTCCTTCTAAAAGAAAGGCTATTTGTCAGTGGAGAATTTTCTGGAAGGGGGTCACCATTTCCACATAAAATGCATTTTTATTTACAACAAAGCAAGATGGATTGGCTGTTTTCTTACTCATTTTGTCTCAACCAAAATCAGTCATACTGTGCACAAAGCTTAAAAACTTCTTCAGTCTACATGCTTAACTGAGGTATGGACCTTACACAAACCCTCTGTAAAGGTATGAACCTTTCTTATCTTGGCACTTACATAGAAAGAGAGCTGTAATTAGATGTTCTTATCAACATTTCTAAAAATTATATGTAAGCTGAATATAGGAGTGTTCATATAATGACTGCAAATTAAATATCCGGTGAAATTTCACTCATTATAATGAAAACCTTTTTCTTTTGCTGTTTGTACTCTTATTTTTTAAAGAGCATATTGACTGGGTGTTGACTCATTAAAAAAACAGCTTTTAACTTAATACTGAATTTTTAACGTTTTAGACCTCCTTGCCCCTTAGGGGACTCTTACAAGCCTGGTCCTTCATTTTAGTGATTTGTAATTGAACCATAAACTCCTACTCGACAGTGAAACTTGGAGCGGATAAGGGAAACAAACAAATCAGTTACTCTTAATTTCTACTACTTAGAAGTACCTAGAAGCTACTATCAAACATGTTTTTCATGTCTTACAGAAAAACAAAGATTTGCAATTGCCTTCCACTACCCATGCACCTTGGGGTACACACGTACTTGAAAAATACGACCCACCAGCAGAAAATACACACAACAGAGAAGAACAGTCAGAATAACTTTCCAAAAGCCTTTTGTTAAAATTTTGCCTTTTACTTAAAAGGGTATTTGAAGTAACCTTTGCTTCTCTTGGATTTTTTAATTTCTGTCAGCTGGTAAATCTTTTCTCCAAAACCATAAAAATACCTGGTGGAAATAAATGGAATTGTTAAGAAGCAGAAATTAAGTTTATATCATTTCTTTTGAAACGAACTTAGAAATCAGAGTTCTCCTTAGTGTTTGGATACAATAGTATTAACTGTTTTCACTATCCTGTCAAAGCTAATAAAGTGCATAAACGCACCAAGTAAACCCTCATGATATCCTTACTTCCAGAAAACTGCAAAACCAAGTACAAGCTTCAGTAAAGAAATAAACAAGCAATTATCCATTACTTCAATAGCGTGATTACTGTCTTTTATTTTTAAAGGAAATTTCTTGTGGCTGGAAAAATCACATGACAGGACAAAACATAGGCTAAAAGTATTTTGTAATATACTTACATATCACTGGCAATGGAGGAGTTCCTGGACATGGACTTTGGAGACAGGTCATAGTCACTGTCTGACCGGTAAAGGAAAGACTCCCTGCGTTGACTATGGACAAAATTTGCCTGAAGAATTAGCCCTGATCCAGGGCTTGTCATGGGATCCAAGGGGCTTCGTCCCGATGAAGTACCATTGTCTACATCAAAACTGCAAAAAGAAAGAATAAAAAGATTTATGCTGTTGACATAAGAATTTTAAAAGTAATAAAAACTTTTCTGACAGATTTATCATTAGGTAATTACTTCTTGATAATAATGGGTAAATAAAGACCTGGTCAAGTCCACTGCTAAACCAAAGTACACTTTAAAATTGCTGACAACCAAAAAAGAAGAACTTTGAAGGAAAAAAATTTTGTAAAGAAAAATCAGTATTAGGAGTACAGGAAACATTATGGTTCTCTGCATGTAGAGATCTGTGAGCTCTGCACTTGAGGGAATATGAAGTTTCGTTGTTTTCTTCCTTGGGCCCCAAGTATCTTGAGCTGGACCCTCCGTATCCTGTCTCCCACTGTTGAGGCAATTGAGTTATTGAGTACCTGACCCTAATATTTCATTACTACCCAAATATTTCGAGAATATATTTTGTTTTATCCCAGTAAATGAAACTCTTGGGTGGGATTAAGATGTATGTGTGTGCTTGAGCACGTCTGCATGTATTATAGTTGCTATTTTACAAACATATAGAAGAATTCTTCGCTCACTGCCAAGCAGCACAACTCCTGTGCCCATTCATGCCTTTGAACTAGGCAGTTTAGATCCAACACTTCTAGTTACTGTGTTTGGTATTAAGAGAGGTAAACAGGCTTATCATTCTGAGGGAACACCGCCGTCATGAGATGCTGAAGAGCAAGGGGAGAGAAAGAAGGAGAAGGAGTGAGAAGATGCTCTTTCATGTAGTCTGTAATGTTTCCACAAAGGGCTTTTTAAAATCAGTGTAAAGACCTTGAATGGGAGTTTGCAGTCAATTAGAAACTAGCATAGGGTTGGCTATGCTGAGAGGACGTGCTCATGGCAACCCATGTTGCCTAGCAGCCCGACAGCTGCATTTGGTACCATATGGAGTCTTTTTGGAGCATGTGGCTCCACTTTTAGACTTCATGTGTTGTGGTATGCAATCCCAGAGGTTACAGATGTGTGGATTAGCAAGATTATGTCTCCATCTGGTGGGATGGAGCACATTTTATCCAGCCAGAAGAAGATTATTTCTGTTTCCCTACTTGGTTGTGTCTTTATAAAACCAAAGATCAGTTTAGCTTTACAGCACAGTAGGAAAGATGTGCATGAGACCTTGGCTTCTAACTATTTGGGCTTCTTTGCCATACTAGTGGGAACTTAAATAATACTGCTATAGCATTTAGGACTGAGGAATAAATAGAGCATCTTTCACACTATTTTTTAAACATGGATCAGTGTTAGCATCATAGTATGCATACACTGAACCCACCTAAAGTACTCATTTTGAAACCAGTATTTTTGTGAAGGACACCCACCAGTTTTCACCTATATTTTATGACAGCAGAAGAGAAAATATTCAGTACTTGTCAGCTGTTGATTAGACTTCAGCCTGGTGCAGAAGTCACAGCAGGTACATGCTGCTTTCCACACCAGCTTGTTTCTTTCTGTTATCTACCAGTGACCCAAGATTGCAGTGAGGCTGAAGCTTTATATTTTACTGGTAGCATTCCAATGGCCTTTATTCCTTTGTTGAATGAACCAATCAAAGAAACACTTATTGCTTTTTTTGACAGAGATGTACATTGCCTGGCACAGAATGGACCTTGGCTTCATGTTTTATTCCATTGTTTCATTGTTATTTTGCACATATTCCTGAAACTGCAATCTTTCTGCTGCTCTCAGATGACATAATTTATTATGTATTCACTTTTCACAGTCTGAAAGTAGAAAAGCAAAATTTTAACTGTTTAGAAAATGGAATTAAAAAGAAATCAACTAAACTTAGTGATTTAGTCCTATTTTCACTGTCGTTTCCAGAAAAACTCACTGTCAGCAAATCCTAACACATACACTTCTCCCCAAATTTGATTTCTTTTGATTATGCCTAAATATTTTTTCTGTGTCCTCAAATGTGCTACTACATAACATGCTCTATCTCAAACTACTAAAGCTAATTCATAAGACATCGAATGAGTGTTCTGCCACAGCCTGTGGGGTGATCTTGGACAACATAAAGTTCATCTTTGCCTTTTATTTTCCCTAATCATTGCATCTTTGTGATCATTGTGAGATCGGCTCACAAAAAAAAAAAAAGAAGAAGAAAGAAAGAAAGAAAAAGAAAGGAAGGAAGGAAGGAAGGAAGGAAGGAAGGAAGGGAAGGAAGGGAAGGAAGGGAAGAAAGGGAAGGAAGGAAGGAAGGAAGGAAGGAAGGAAGGAAGGAAGGAAGGAAGGAAGGAAGGAAGGAAGGAAGGAAGGAAGGAAGGAAGGAAGGGAAGGAAGGGAAGAAAGGGAAGGAAGGAAGGAAGGAAGGAAATGGCCTGATAGCATGAATACTACTAAAACATCCTTGCTGCTTCTGCTTTTAATAACCATATTGCCATTACTACTAGCTTGACTACTATTATTCACTAGCAATCAGTATCTTTTGAGTTTGAATGCCTGATTATTCCAGCAGCACAAAATACTCAGTATCAATGAAGGGTTTGCAACATCTGTGAACTCATTGTATCAAATTTTCCTGACACTCCTATTTCATTGCCTAATTATTTCTTTTTTCTTTAAACAGTTGTGAGAATACTCAGACTCCTAAACAATACAAACTTTGTGTGTTTTGTTTTTCTATTGAATGCAGCTCTTTCATGCAATTTTAGGTAAAACAGAAGAGGATTGTTTAGTCCCGTGCTCAATAAGAGTCAATAGTCCTGTGCCAGTATCATTTCAGACATATGTAAAGTACTCTGAAACATCTAAAGCAAAAATTAAAAGTGGAAGATAAATAAATGAAGGTAAATGTAGGTCTGTAGTACAACGGAAACATTTTGAATACGAACTAACTAATGATTTCATTTAAATTAGACTTAATTATTCATCTGATCATAAGGTACTTCATTGGATTAAAGAAACACATGGCTTTGTTTGCAGATTTGTTTATTTTATTTCACCTGCCCTTTGTGGACATGATATGAGTATCTTATGATCAGTGTTATTTCTCCCGGTTAGAACTTAAGGCTTCTATGAATGCTATCACTGTCAGATTATAAAACAATGATTTTTTTTTTTTTTTAATTGAAAGTCTGTTAGCTGAAACTGCAGCTTCATCAGCTAGGAGAGTCCCTGTGGTTTGCACCACTAAATAACTACAGGAATGTGAAAGACGTGCACATTGGGGTCGTGACAGGAAATTTATAGAATCATAGAATAGTTAGGGTTGGAAAGGACCTTAAGATCATCAAATTCCAACCCCCCTGCCATGGGCAGGGACACCTCACTCTAAACCATATTACCCAAGGCCTCGTCCAACCTGGCCTTGAACAGTGCCAGGGATGGAGCGTTCACAACCTCCCTGGGCAACCCATTCCAGTGCCTCACCACCCTAACAGGAAAGAATTTCCTCCTTATATCCAATCTAAACTTCCCCTGTTTAAGTTTTAACCCATTACCCCTTGTCCTATCACTACAGTCCCTAATGAAGAGTCCATCCCCAGCATCCCTATAGGCCCCCTTCAGATACTGGAAGGCTGCTATGAGGTCTCCACGCAGCCTTCTCTTCTCCAGGCTGAACAGCCCCAACTTTCTCAGCCGATCTTCATACGGGAGGTGCTCCAGTCCCCTGATCATCCTCGTGGCCCTCCTCTGGACTTGTTCCAACAGATCCCTGTCCTTTTTTATGTTGAGGACACCAGAACTGCACACAATACTCCAGGTGAGGTCTCACAAGAGCAGAATAAAGGGGCAGGATCACCTCCTTCGACCTGCTGGCCACAATCCTTTTGATGCAGCCCAGGATACGGTTGGCTTTCTGGGCTGCAAGCGCACACTGCCGGCTCATGTTCATTTTCTCATCGACCACCACCCCCAAGTCCTTCTCCGCAGGGCTGCTCTGAATCTCTTCTCTGCCCAACCTGTAGCTGTGTCTGGGATTGCTCCAATGCAGGTGTAGGACCTTGCACTTGGCATGGTTAAACTTCATGAGGTTGGCATCAGCCCACCTCACAAGCATGCCAAGGTCCCTCTGGATGGCATTCCTTCCCTCCAGCGTATCAACCAACCCACACAGCTTGGTGTCATCGGCAAACCTGCTGAGGGCGCACTCAATCCCACTGTCCATGTCAGTGATGAAGATGTTAAACAAGACTGGTCCCAACAACAATCCCTGAGGGACACAACTCGTTACTGGTCTCCAGCCAGACATTGAGCCATTGACCACAAACTCTTTGCGTGTGGCCATCCAGCCAGTTCTTTATCCACCGAGTGGTCCATTCATCAAATTGATGTCTGTCCAATTTAGAGACAAGGATGTCGTGTGGGACAGTGTCGATCGCTTTGCACAAGTCCAGGTAGATGACATCAACCGCCTTTTTTTTTTTATCCTGTGGTACTGGTTGTGTCCACTAGATGGGTGTAGAAAGTAACGAAAAAGATCCAAATAACTACTAGGACTTGTGTCATACTGCTCAACGAGAATGTCTTTTATGTAAATATGTATCAAGAAAAAAGAAAGTTCAGATCTACAGTCAAAGGCGGAATGTGTATACCGCACTGGTTTGCCAGAAACGTATATTTATATTAAAATGTTTCTAAAAAGTTACAGCAGTTAAGTGTCTTTGTTAGCTCTTACTTTCTGAGTATGTTGCCCGCATTTTTACATAGAACGATTTAGTAGAAATATAAATGAACAATGTGTTATTGCACTGAAAAGCAAATAAATTGTTTCTTTGGCTGAATTTTTTTTTTTTTTTTTTTTTTTTTTTTTTTTTTGCAAGAAATGAGCTGCTGAGCACACTGCATTAAATGAACAGAGGATCGAAACAGGTAATTGGAGAATATGAGTTGTTCTTTCTTGCTGCATACACTGAAAAAAAACAAACAAAAAAAAAACCAAAAAAAAAAAAAACCCCAAACCCTTTAAGATACAAGATAAGATAGACTCTTTGATGAGCCTGGGCAGAAATATCATAAAGTCAGCTTTGGTCG